GCCTGCGGCCGGACGGTCCGCTCCCGCCCACGTCGAGAAACTTGCTCGCACCATCGTCAACTTCTTCCCGGCGTTCTAGCTTAACCAAATGCAGCGTCACCTCGGTTACAGGATTATGCAGGCCACGTCACCGGCATCCCGGTCACTGGGTGGTCTTGTAACCCAAATACAGGGTAATCTCTCCTCCTTCTTCCCAAATTATGACCCAGGTAAGCAGAGTGCAGTCCCAACGGACGAAGCAGATCCGCCGCAGTCCACCTGTGATGCTTCTGTTCTTCAGTCTTTGTTTCAAACTGATGACCGGAATGGCTGGGATAAATTGGATCCCAAGTATAGGTAAGGAGCTGCGTCCTTGCCCGGTCCTCGTCTCATTCTCATGCCGCAGAAGAACATGCTTTTCCTCCTGACATGTGATGCTCCTAACTAGTACCCACTTCATTCGCTGTCTCCTGTCAATGCGAGTCGAACAATGGAGGTAGATCACGCGGCTTCTGGGCCTCCCTAACAAGGCGGTAGGCCAACTGTGCACTTAGAATCTTTTTTTTCACGACTAGCACTCGGAAGCGAACGGCCAGGGACGTAGAAAATGAACAGACACATGGCCGGGAATCTGTTTCCGCGATACTTGATAGAGCTACTGCATTACCTGCTGCCACGTTAGAGAGTTCAGAGCTCGCGCCGACAGATCTAGAACAGTCCACCAATCAGACTGCTCCCTCTGCTGCTAGAAACAGATCCTCCGAATACTGCCGATTTTCTCTCTCTCTCTCCCCCCCTCTACCTACGTGACAAACCGACGCCCGGAGAGATGCAGTCTTCTGCAGACCGAGCAAGCGCTCGTCCCCTCCCATAGCAAACCCTGCGTGTCATTACCGTGACAATCGAGCTAATGAAAAAGAAAGGCGACAAAACGCATCCCCAGAGGAGGCAAAAAGAAAGTACGGATCCCAGGATTGAGTATTTAAGCGGACTGGTGGAACATCGAGGAAGGAGCAGAGTTCGGCAGAGCGTGACAAGGGTGAAAAGGAAGAATAACAAATAGAAGAACGAGTTTGCTACAGCGGTGCTAATTACGCATGTACGATTTCACAAGGCGAGGGCGGGGGAAGGGAAGGGGTCGAGGGGAAAGATAAATTAAGAGCAATAGACAGAGGGCGTGACAACAGTCTAGAACAAACAGTCTAGTCGCTGTATACGATTATCAAAATGAGGCAAATTTATGAGTTAGGTTTGGCTGGCTGAAAACACCGATCGGTAGATCAGGGATAATGATATAATACAGCGGCGTCGGATGAGTAGGACAGTGAAGTGGGATGCAAATTCGCTTATCCTGCGCACCCGTACTTCCAGTTTGCTGGCGGGAGGGGATGTCTGCAGTCCTCCTTAGTTTGTTTTGGCCTTGCGTAGCCCTGGTACTTTTTCTAGTAGGGTCTTAATTCTGGAAAAAACGATAAAGTAGACGTTTAGGATGATTGACAGTTTTCTGATCATACTACTATATGGCTACCAAAGTGCATGATCTTTGGAGATTCGAGTAACGCCGCTTTCGTATGCGTCAAAGTGCAAGAACACAACAGAGTGCACTCACGCAGCTACAATAAACACTACGAAAGCGTTGATTGGTAAAAGAAATCGATTTCGGAGTGAATTGTCGATTGATTAAAAAGCACACCAATTTCGAAATTCGGCAAAGGGTGCGCGAAACAATGAAACGTCATGATACGTGGCAATACAGACTACGAAAGAACAGCAAATAGCGGCCCTGCGGCTACTGATCTTCGCGATTTGAAGATTGATTAGAATGTGCCTCGGTAGCACCGACAAGCCCGACCGTTTGTATATCGGATAATAAAGCATCAGCTGTCAGTGTCTCGCCTGAATGCTGTCGCTGTTAGGTTCGTGACCAGGAACTTTTAGTTTTAAGGTGATCGGGGGGTAGCTGATTCTCAAACTACGGGCCCTTGGCGTCCACAATGAACATTGTAACCTACGGGCGGTTGCACACGGGGTTTAAGATGACCGGCAACAGATCAATTTTTGTCTGCCGGGCGCTGTCAGTCCGCTTAGAACCCGAAAAAAATTAAAAACCAAACTGCTTCAGTTCGGTTGCGCCTTGTCTTCGTTTCTGTTTGGTCAATCGTGCGCACAGTAGCGAAAAATGGAAATAATAGCGCAACTGAGTTAATAGTTCTCAACATACAGGCAGGCAGGATTAAATGTTCAGCGAGGTAATTGGGCTCCGTATCGAGTTGGTCTTGTCTCTTCGCCCAGGGTTGGAATAAACGGTGACTATGCACATTTGCTTTTGTGGTTTTTGTTAACAAGGATCGATAAAGAGAGCTAAAATGAGGTCTGATGTTTCAATTAGCCAGGGGTGCTTTTAGGTATGCACTGTGAGGCTACAACACTGCACAGTGACCAGAATCTTTGCTAAGAGAGCGTGTCCACTGCCGATTACGACGGATTAACTATCGCTACGATTCATTCCTGAGCCTTATAGACGTATCTGGCAAGTTTTATTGGGTCTCTCTTTTGAATAGAAGGCTAATTAGCCATGATTGCTAAGAACCACTCCCTACCGCTTAATATGGTGTCGGGACAAAGAAGTCACCAAAAGACAAACACTCCGTTGGGTTTTTGTGAGATGTAGTCAATACAACAATCCTTACAGATTTTGTTTGGATAAGGTCTGAGTTGACAAAACAGCGGGGCATCCAGGGAACGACTCAAGCGAGTGAAGGGCTACTGCATGTATGGACAGAAATGTACACAAATACAGCAAAGGACCTAGTCATTCATCACCCAAGTGTTAAAGGGCACCGGGGTACCAATGAGAAGGAATATGTCACGATTATCGATGACTACTGGGTGAATACTGATTCGCTGACTTATCTAACCCCGCGATCTTAGCCCTAAGTAGCAAATCTGGGGTTGACTGCGACACGAGGTTCGACAACTCGGGCCACTTATCGCACTAAGCTTGTCTGCGGATTATTGAAGGTCAATTCGGGTACATCAAAGAAATGTGCCCATTTCACCAATTTCCTGATTAAAAACATACCGTTTGCTTGTACAGGACGGAAAGAGGTCTTTAGCGGGCATAAAAACCTTAGTCCAGCCAGCAAAATTCAGTATTTCGTCCTGCTAAGGAGATGGTGGTCCTACATAACCGGAATTGTGACGAACGGAAAGATCATTTCTTCCCAGGCAGGAGCATAAATTTTGTTTTCTTTTCACTATAAACTCGTTGGACGCGAACGGTCCGCAGATTAGCCATAAAAAACTAGAGGAATAATGGCTGCAGGATTCACGACGGCCTCTTAATAGAATGAATGGTAGATGCCTCGATCAAAGTTAATGTAAGCCTGTCACGACGGTGTGTTGTAATTGCGGGGAAAGAAGGCCATCAAGTGCTGGACCCTACGACGAAGGAGCGACAAATGATAATTTGTCTCTCTTTCTTAAACTCATATTATGACGGTGAGCTCTCCTTCGCACGGCTGGACGTCCTACTTTAATTATAAACGGGTGCAACTAAGAAACGACCGCAAATGCATACTGTAGTAACTCGGCTGAGAGTACAAATGCCCTTCAGAATATTAATGGAGGTGCCTTTTTAACCGACAGTACAAGTGATGGTGCACTGCGGCTGGAAACCCTTGGTATCTACAAGAAGTAGTCTATAGGCTTACCAGCTTTAGTGATACATCTGGAACCGTGCGCTCCGCCTCTTGATAGCTTGGAGATTGCAACATACCAGGTTATGCGAGTTACATAGGTCGGACGGTTTAGCTGTTCTGTTAAACAAGCTCGCGGTAGGTGAGAAGGCGCTGTTCAGTTGTGAAGAGTGCAAGAGCTGACATTATGGCGCTACCAATCGCCCCTTCTTGCAGCGTCAAGGCAACTCACTGCTGCGAACGCGCTCGAAACAAGGCCACCGCACGGCATCTCAGACGCCCCAGCGTTAGACATGCTGATCAAACAACTCAGGCGACTGGCCGCACCGGAGAAATGCGTCCGGATCAGCGCAGAGCGATCATCTCCTTCGCAGGTCGCTCAGACATAATATCCTTGACCTTGGCTTCACAAATCCAGAAAACTGGTCGACAACACACTCAATCCTCGACTTAACGGCTTAATGTTGTCGTCGCGTGCCCTGGTTCACCGGCAGTGACACTGTCGCCTGAAAGAGAAGTTGGGGTCTATGCGCCTAATAAATCTTTCCTTATGGTATTCCCACCTTAAACTACTGTTTAAAGCGTAACCTGATTATCCTGGTGACTAATGTACGCTCACGACTCTACTTGGTGGACAGCAGTTGAATCTGAAGAATTGTGCACATTTTTCTCCTTGTTTGCTCGGGGTGTACGATGACGTCCACACTCGGTTTTGCCGAGGCCAGACGAATGGAGCAGCGACTTAAAAAAGCCCAGACACTCGTGTCAGACCTCAGGCAAACATAGGCAATAACGTTGGCCAAAATATGGTAATCAGAGCACCCTTTCATTGCAAATACGACGGCGGAGGGAAGCGCAAGGTGATGGTTCAAATGTTTATCGGGAAAATGCACTCATAATCTGTCCACGTGCCATATTCCCCAATGGCAATCCGTTTGAAAAGGTTAATCTTTCCGGTACTTCGTCACTGACAGCCTTCAAACGGCGGGTGAGCGGAGGTTGCTTGACGGGCGGGCAAATTTTAACGACCGGGAGGCTTTGTCGATTGGGAGGTAGCCTGACGTCAATGGCAAGCCCGTTTGAGCATACGGGGCGTAAAGGTAAACGTGGCTTAAGCCGAGGCAGCCGTTGGAGGCCAAGATTGTGTGATTTGAGTTTAACGCGCCCGGTTTCACCTCAAGGTAGTCACTATCAGTCCTATAGACAGGGGTCCAAGCGATAAGTGTCAAAATGGGCGGGATTATGGCAAAACGGGAATTACAAACCATTTTCTGCTTAGGTGATTCTGTCCCGTTTACACTATGAGCCGAGAAGCGCACGGCCAAATTAGACGAGGTTTCACAGTCGGTGATAAAAACCCGAGGTGGAAAACAATAAGGCGATCTGGCTTAAATAAAGAAACTGACAAATGCTTGATTCCAATTTCGCTCTCTTAGTTCGGATCAAAACTCTGTTGTGCAGATGCTGTATATTGGAAATTATTAAAATTACTTCAACAGTGCAAACATGGAATGCTCGAGCTTGGGGTTTCTCGGACAGGTTTTAGTCCAGCAGGCAGGGCTGTGAGGATACTGATGAAGAACACATATAGAAGCCCTAATCCAGCACTTTTTAGGCAGACAATTTCACATAGCAAAGTTGGCTAATGATGTAAGACGTCCTGTGCTGGTTGCTCTAGGAATAGTACCCCCCGCAAACGCCGACTAACCGCTGACAATTGAATGCACGTCCTCTGTCTAACTGCGGTTACGAGCTACTGATAACGAAAAGTACTGCCTACTTCAACTTTCTAAGCACTTATCCAATAAATGCAAGTCTCCCGTGGTTAGTAAAAACATGTGATTAAATTGTACTAGCATTACTAAGACAGGCCGTCAAGTGAGAGGGAGTAATGACTTATTATCAGGTTACGACGGCAACTTATGACTGGTTTCCTGATGAAAGCGACCAGAGATGAAAAGGGCGCAGAAAATTCGACCTAAACTTACTTGCTCGAAACGTCGTCGAATCGCTTACGGGCAGCATTGATGGCCTCGTCGATTTGAGACTAGAAAGTCAACAAAAAAGAAATCGTAAAAGAAAGTCGTGTCAGAAGTCGCAAATCTAAGGGGTGGCGGAGGGCTGGCAGAAATACAAGCAGGATGACTTCGGCAGAGTGGCAGGCAAAGTGAAATCGTGCGGAATGGCCAACTTGGTGAGCCCTTGAGTGATCAAAAAGTAATTACTCTAGTCAACACCGATACACTTTTGTTTCGATGCTGTGCTAGGTAGGGCCAGGTGGCCGCCGGTGAGAAAAAGCTCATTGTGAGACCGGACTTTAAATAGCCTCCTCCAGACGTCTGAATACACCGCATTACTGCAGTCTTCCGAAGAAAATATAAAGGACAAATGCTTGTACTGCCCACAGGGCATAAGAGTAAATATTGATGATCCGCCGCCTTCGAAGGCAGAAGTCGAAAAGTGCAAAAGTAATTCTATAATTACTGGCATGCCGCCTGTCGACCGGAAAGAAGTTTGCGGGAGACCCATACACTGGAAAATCAAGTTTTTCAATTTACTGCGAGGTAAAAACGGGGCAAAGTGGGCGCGAAATCTCCCTATTGGCTAAAAGTTGTGATGCTCACCTGATATACTTTATACGGTTTCGGCAGAGTGAAAAGAAGGACGAAGGCTGAAAACAGAAAATTAATCATAATATGAAGTGTTAAAACCGGTGCGGATTGGGGGTGGGGGAGGACGCAATAATGCATGCGAGTCGCAAATTCCCCCGTTGGTGAACATGTAATGAAGGGGCGATCGAATAGCCCTGAAGTTTAAGAAATGTGCTTACCAATTGTGACCAGAGTGATCAGGTTGAAAAATCCGCCGAGTATGGAGAGCATGTACATGTATAGACCAAACTGGAAGAAAAAAAACGTTGACTTGCAAAGGACGTAGAGTGATGCTTGAAACTTTATGGTGAGGCTGCTTCTGTGAAAATAAACGGACAAGGTGGAAGCAAAGTTATTACCATACCTCTTGAGGCGACCTCAAAAGGACTCTCATACCAAACCACGCCCTTTCCCTGCATGAGGCTACGAATACAATGATTGCGACCAAAAGAGGAGGGTCAAACCGTAGGTGTGTCACCTTAGTTAGTTGTGAAAGTGTCTGGTGTGGACATGGAACAGACTACGAGTACGACGTAAGAGGTAACTGACGGCCAAAAGCAGTAACAATGATCGAAAAATTACGCTGTTTTCGGGAGAAAAGCTATTAAATTAACCCCCGTGATATCCAGTTCAGAATAGTATATTCCTTCCGACACTTTCCCAAGGAAGGAAAAGGTACAACTTGCTAGTCGAAGTTAAGCAATAAACCATCTGGAATGCTGGCGGGACAGAGAGATGGGCCGAACCCATCACAACTGCAACATGAAGTTGCAGAAGTCGGTTAACCGAATGTTTGAGATCTAGTTGATTCCCCTGTCAGGAATATGGTGAAGCTATTGCCTGTGTACAAAACAAATAGGAACGAGTGCACTGACCGTTCAGATAAGGGTGTAGTGAACTCAGATCTGAAACAGGCTTGATTTAAACTCAGTCCAAAAGTAAGTCGCTTTGCGTATGGCATTCCCAGACGTGTATACAAATGGCCTTCAATACTTGCAGTATTACCTTCAAGGAGTCCAAGTAGTTTTCTACAAGAAGTGCATGCCTGAAATAGTTGGCGAGGTCGGAGGAATGGTCCAAAGCAAGCTTCACGTAGTGGTCGACACGCTCACGTGGAACAACGACATCGCCAGACCAAAAATCGCTAAATAAAGTAGAAATAGGGCACATTAAAAAGTAGAACGAGTGGACACAGGTGAAAATGTTGTTGAAAAGTTTCAAAGCCTGAACATATTACGTACCGAAGATTTGGGTATAGACAATCTCAACTTTTTTGCCCAAAGTTTTTATGTCGTGAAAACGATTCAGTGCGTTTGGTTTCATTCGGAGCAGAACGTGGCGAATGCAAAACCAGAAAACTTTACCCTCAGCAAATAGGTGATGTGGAGCCTCGGTCACGCCAACCGATAAGGCGGCCCTATGAATGAGCAGATATAAGGGTCCCAGAGGGATATTTTGAGAAGGAAGAGGAACACTCTTAATAACCAGACGACATTTCGAATAGCCGGGTCTGTCGTCTTGCTGCCAAGACATGTGCTGCGCAAAAAAGATGAAATTCACACGTGTGACCCGTCATTATCGATCTTTCCGATGTCTCGCTTAGTGGTCGCCGTCCTGTAGGTGCATAACATTGGTCCCCACAAGGGGCTGCGCCGCAAGAACGGGGATCAGACTGGTTTGTGGCAGGCGTTTATTGGGCAGCGCGGACGACCATAACTGCTGTCGTATATGAGAGGGGTGTGGTGGCGAGCCTAGATGTAGGCCCTCACGCCCAGTTAGCCTCTGCGCCCAACTTCATCACCAGCTCGTTAACAGTCGACTGGTGAATGTGAGATAAAAAAAAGGCGAAGCCGAAACTGGAGAATCCATCACCACGGCAAATCAGCGCTCCTTTCACTATAACAAACCTGGTGCGCTTAAATCAATCACGACGTCGTGGCTTACAAGGTTGACAACGGACGGGACAACACGGTCCTCCCCAGGACTAGGTCATGCTGCAATGGCTCCCTCATGTGAGATCTGAGTGGCCCTTATAAAAGGCTGAAATGTAGTGGGATCAGGTCGTGTGGGATACGCAGACAGATCTTTTGACATTGCCAACTACCGTGCCGGAGCCCACTGCCGGTTGCTTTTGCTTTGTCATGCCACCGGGGCAAAGTGGATGAGGGAAGAGAGTGCGGTAGATGCTGCACAAGCCTGTCTTACTATAAACGAATTCATGAGTATATCGCCAATGCTGCACCCACTCCGTGGGACAGGCTGAAGACGTCGTTCGCAACAATCGAACTGCTTTTGGATATAACAGCGGGAGGACAACCAAAAGAACGGCAGCCAAGTGTGAAGGACATTAACTTACACCAAGGAAATCCATGGGACGGCCTCCCGGCCGCCGACGGCCCCAGAGATAGGCACGGCCTACAAACCGTCGCCTACAATTCATTACATGATGTCGCTGGCTGAAGCTTCGCAGTTGTGCATAAAGTCCGATGCAATGGGGATGACAAAACCACGTCGAGGAAGCCAGACGCGAACTATGGACTGGTTTCCAGGGGCATCTTCTTACACACGGAGACTAGACTCCAAATTATTCTTGGTACGGATGTGATCACGGCTGATCCTACCAGCCTCGATGATGTCACGGATTGTACCTCTCCACACGTGACGATCTGCGACAGCGGCTCTGACGAACTCGACTAGCCCTGATTTCTGGCGATGGAGATCGATAGCCACGAGTTCAAAAGCCACCTCCGTATTCAGAGGGACTGTGTTGCGTCAGCTTTGGAGCTGACCTCGGTGACTGCAGGACGGCAGCGGCAGTGGGTCGAGGGAAGTAACACTAAACCCGTGCGGGCGATAAAGAACGTGTCTAAACCACAGCAGTCGCCTTTCTAGGATGGTCAGGTATGTCCTCGTAATGCTGTCGCAGTGAACGCAGTCTCATTTGAGATAAAGTCGCTAAAATCCACTCAAAGAACGCTTCCCAGGCAACGGCGGTTCAAGCAGCTCTAGTTTTCGTCCATCTCCCACGCGCTTAATCTGACATACACGACTGCACAGAACTGGACGGACGGATGCACGGCACACGCAGACTTTTCTGGAGGTGGGAATATCGCATCGAGCCCATAGAAACGTCCTAGGAACTGCGAAAATCCTGCGGGCAGTATCGATTAAGAAGAAAACGTCAATTTAACTAAGTCCACCTGCTAGCTTCTTCGTCTGAGGTATTTGAAAGCGTTTATTTCGCTAAGTCAGTCATTCTTAGCGGTACATTTTACTTGTCAGAAAGGCAACTCGAAGCAATTTTGCGCTTCGCAGTATGTAGACCGACAAACCAACCGTTGAAACAACCACCTTTGCCCGTGGCATTACGTTCTATAGGTCACAAAAGCTTCATGTCAAAAGGACCATATTGTCAGCGTTGTCAACATCAATCGAAAAGCACATGGGTAGAAAATCGACTTTATAAAAGCCGTCTAGGGCTCTTCCGAGAATTTAGTTGACGATGAAATTGAACAGAATGGACAACAGAGTACGACCTTGTCGAACGCCGGACCGAATATCAAAAGGCTAGCGGAGTGTTTTAGGCTAGAACTCGTGGTGGTGGAGCGATTACCGGCCATAATCATGGCGATAATTTGTCGGCATACCATCGAGTTTTATTATCTGCCACCGTAACGGATAATGGACGAAGACGAAGACTACGGCATAATCAACAAAACACGCTCGTCGGGTGTTAGTAACCATGACGAATTTAAGAATGCGCCACTGTGTGAATATCTGGTCGGCACATTCACGTGCAGCTCAGGTCCTCGACTCACGCAAATTCTGATATTGCTCGAGAATGGCAATGACGATGACCTTCACAAGAACGTTGATGAGATTGGTGTCGCAGTAGGTTTCGCAATTTGCCTTATCCCCCCTCCCCCGTGAAGATAGGTGTCATGTTAACTTATGGCCCGGTGAAATTCCATCTTATCTTCTTCTGTTCTATTTCTCGTTTTAGTTCCATTTCTTCAATTGCAAGACAAATAGGGCCCTAGTATATGGTATCCTCGTTCTGATTCTTGCATCCCCATTTGTTTGTGTCCCCCTCTGGTGTGCACGCTAGCTAGTGTCCTAGCTACAATAATGTACTCATCTTACAACTCCAGAAAAGATCGATTTCTTAGGCCAGAATGATTCGATGTTGATCTGAATGCTCAAGACGCCTCTAAAGAGTGGAACCATTGGTTTCGCGCTTTTAAAAATTTCTTGTCCACGATCGATAGCCTGCAACCGGACTAATTAAGCGTTCGGACTAACTACGTTTTTCCAAAAGTCTAGGAATGCATTAGAGAATGCTCCAGTTACGGAGAAGCTGTTAAATTGCTACCAAATCTCCACTTAAAACCTTAGAATGAAAGCTTTGCCTGCCATCTTCTGGCAACATGCAGACAGGAAGGCGGACAAACCCTCGACCAGTTTGTTCAAAAGCTAAAGTCCTTAGCTGGGAACTGCTACTTTAAAACCGTTACGTCAGAACAAAATCGCGACGATGCCACCAGAGATGCGTTCATCAGTGGCCTTTCGTCAAACCAGATTCGGCAGAGGCTATTGAAGCAGAAGAATTTGAACTTCCAAACTACCTTTGATTGGGCAAGGTCACCGGAGTTGGCAGGGTCGTATCAGAACCCTCCGACGACCTCATTCTCTGCCGCTATTGAATCATGTGAAGCTTCGTCGAATACCGTTAAAGAGCCTGCCCTAATGGCATCTGCTTCATTCGGTAGCAAATGTTTCTTTTGTGGATACGACAGGCACCGTCGTTCGGTCTCCCGCGCGCTATGCGTTATGCAAAGAATGCGGCAGAAATGGGGCAATTCCAAAAGGTGTGCCTAACATCACGAAACCGAAAAGTCGTCGCTTCCGCTATGTATCCTACCACTTCTGCCGTGGCATCAGCTGCTGCTCCTGGCTGTCTCTCAAACGCAGTGGTTGAACTACAGATAAATGGACTACTTTCCAGGCCCTAAGTGACACAGATATTTCTGAAAGTTACATTTTTTCAGTGGTGCTCCAAAAAAGCAGAAGGTTCATAACTCTCGCACCCAAATATCCATGGGAACCACCGTCTTACCAGCGCCACACAAGGAAGGTACAATATGCGAGAAGGCCAAGCTATCGGTCTTGCCAGATATGTGCGCCGATGTTCTACTTGGACATGACTTTCTCCGACTCTACAAGTGCTGAAATTCCTTTTGGTGAACCTAAACCTACGTTCTCGCCTTTTGCTGTGGCTGCCGCTTGCGTCTAACTTCCCCGTACCAATGTCGACGAGCGATTTATACGAGAAGAAATTTGTCGCCTTCTTTCTGAGGGCGTAAGTGAGCATTCATTAACCTCTTGGAGAGCCCAAGTTTTGGTGATAGCCAATTAAGACCACAAAAAGCGGATGGTTGTCGATTATAGCCAAACTATCGGCAGATACACACTTCTAGACACCTACTTCTATCCCAGAATAGACGAAATGATTGAATATATATTGCAAACTACGACACGTACAGCACCCTTGATCTCAAGAAGGCCTATCACCAAATGTCCATCCGGCTAGAGGGAAGATCGTACACTGCCTTTGAAGCTTGTGGACGTTTATAGCAATTTTGTCGTATCCCGTTTGGTGTGAACAACGGGGTTGCGTGCTTCCAGCAGATCACCGACGACATAATTGTACGCGAGCGTCTAAAGAATATTTTCGTCTACGTGGACAATATCAGTGTTTGTGGGGACGGCCTCGCGGGGCATGATCCAACCCTTCGAAAATTCCTTAGCGTGATCGAAACGTACGGACTAACATTCATGGACGCCAAGTGTTAATGGTGTTAAACGAGCCAAACTTCCTGGTTCCAAGGCATCCAATGGGCAACGCTAGGCTGGATCTGGTTCGTCTAAGGCTCTTGCGTAAAATGGCTCCTCCGCATGATCTTAAGTCCCAACAACGAACTGTGCGACTGTTTGCAGACTACTCACGATGGGTATCTCACTTTTCAGATAAAATTCATCTCCTCATTCACAACAAAACTTTGCCTTTACCATCGAAGGTAATGGATGCATTTGAGGCTCTTAGGGAGGAATTAGCAAAGGACACAATGGTCACTGGTCAGTGCGATACCCCGTTAGTTGTCGAGACTGATGCTTCAGACGTCGCAATCGTTGCCATACTGAATCAGAATGGCACGTAGCCTTTTTCCAAATGAGTAACATCATTCAGCTAAGGAGAGGGAAGCAATGATTTTGGGCGGTACACCATCTAGTGCCATTATCTCCCACAGGGACTGACGATGAACGGATTCGAATGAGGCGGCAAAGTCAACAAAGCGGACGGCCGTCGGTTGCTGGCAGCCACGACGAAATTCGAGAATGTGCCTCGGTGTGAATACCTGATTCGCACGCCCTCGTCCAGCACGAAACCCGGCTTAGTTGGGCCTCGTCCTTGAGTCACGCACAGCCTGGAATCGCCTGAGTAGGACAATCACGAAGATCTTTGCAGCAACGTCCATGAGGCTTATGCCGCAGTAGTTCTCGCATCTTACCTTATTTTCGTCTTTGAGGAATGTTACAGGGATGTCTGAGCCCCAGTCATCAGGAACAACCTCGTCTCTCCACGATTATTCAATCGCTGCATGGAGTCAGGGCGCCAGAGCGTCGACACTGGCACTGCATAAGCTGGAGAGGGAAAAACTCCGCTGCAAAGGAGACAAGGACGTGGTGGGTAGGGTATCGACTTTAAGATGGTGCTCGAAGTGCTCACGCCAGAGCTCGACTTTGGGCGAGTTGTCAGCAATAAAGCCGCCATTCAAGTCGCAACAGACATTCAGTACATAGGGCTTACTACTAACTTAGCGGATAAGTTGGTCGAGTTTTCGGGTGTCACCAACGCACGAGGCCAATTCGTGGCGACCGATATTTCGGCTTAATATGGTTTCCGGTCATCCCTGGCTGACTTTGCAGATATCTTTCGGAGCTGGCGGAAGGAATCATCATTACGGGACGTGGCTCGGGCCATCTGAGCAGACAACTGCAGGATTCTTCCGCTGATCAACTCACTGCGGCGTCGTTGGGTATATCGAATGATTTTCTCAGCTGCCCCATATGCTGACGTTTTCAGTGACGACCGCTGGTTACTGCCTTCCCCGTCGGCTCGGGTCGTAAAACAAGACCGGATTTCTCTGCTCAGGGCCTCTGCAATGCTGGCTTACCGGATTTTTGCGACACCGAGGAGTCTAGGACGCGGCATTTTTGGCACGGATGAGAAGTGAATTTTCAAGCGTGTACGAACGAGGACATGGTCCGACCCATGGGCGTTACCAGTCTCGGCACCACGCATCAATCTGCTACTTGGAACCCAGCCGCGGAATCTTCAGCTGACTAGTATGTAATCAATCTGACTGGCAGAATTACCGTCGTTTGAATACCAGGTCGGCAGGTGTTCTTCGCGATACTGGAAACACGTGTTGGTGACAACCAGCCCGTTCTGACCAGCGAAGTTCAGCAATCTCTCGCCATTTTCACATCGAGAAGCAAGCCCAAAGTGGCCAAGAAGATGACTGTTTATGGAGTCGCCAGGTCCAGTCAGACCATTCCGATCCCCGGCAACAATCAACAGATCGCGGAGAGGGAGTCGTTCAAGTAACGCTTGTAGATGCGAGTAAAACGCCTCTTCATCGTGCTGTTCGGCAGCTGAAGTTGGTGAGTACACAGAGACAATTGAGATGTTCGTGAAGTGATCCTTCAGTCGCACGTAGGTCATCCGGTCGTTGACTGGTTCCCAAGCAAATCAGGCGAGGTCCGCTGGTTGCGAGAAAGCGACAGCCACACCGTGTCTACCGGAAGAGTCGCGTGGGCCGCTGTGGTAGTGTGAAGTGTGATTCGACTCCAGGGATCTTTATTTCTCGAGAGCCTGAGTCAGGCAGTCGGGCTTCAGACAGCAGACATCCACGTTGCACCGACTACGGCTGTGCGCAGTCAGACTTTGAGTACCGAGGTACAGGAACGTTAGCACACTCCAGCATCCAGCACCAAGAGTCCGTCCCGATTGAGCAGTCCAGCTTACAGACTATTCGCCCGCACAACTGCACCAGGGTTGCGGAGCTCGTCAGTTCCCACGAGCGCCCTGGCATGGGTCGTAATACTGTTGTCCGACATATTTCACGGTTCCATGGGAATTTTGGGTACATGCAGGTCCCCAACCGCCGTTTGGATTGTTTGTTCAATGTTGTCTCCTCTAGCGCTTTAGCTTAAAAGCTCAACCAAAAGGAGCGGTGACAGACAAACTTACTTAATGGCGATTCACGGTCGCCATGTCACAGTGCCGTCAACGGGCTTTGCGGCATTTTCATAAGACTTTCAGCATACCAGACCTCAGCCCTGGCAGCACTGTCGCTGCTGGCCCGCGACTGATTATTCGTCAGACCTGGGTCTGCTTATTTTGTGGCTAACCTTCACTGAAGGCCGTTTCACTATCCGCCACCTGTGGACGCGCCGGGTGGCCAGCAGTTAGGCTAACAGACAACCCATTCCCCTCAACTCGGATCGTAAGGCAACACTGAATTTCCGTGCCAAAGACCTCGACTGTTATAAACGGCAGTTTTGCGACACCGAGGCGTCTTTTGCATGACCCAGTTCGGTGATTCATTAAGTCAAGTAAAATAACCTTCAAAAACCAAAGAAATTTCGGAACTGAATCAGTGGCCTGTTTGAATTGACGAAGGACGCGACAGAAATATAGAATATTTGGCAGACGGGATATTTTAAGCCCCATCAGCTTAGTTGGTGTCAGAATCAATTGCCAACGACAACGAGCTTACTTGAAGGGTTTAGGGGGTACTGACGATGGATCAGTCTTCTTCGATCCAACGAGGTCGTAATAAACACGCCACGCGGCTGTGCAACAAAGGATGGCCAAGCAAAAGTAAGCGAAGACGGAGACCATGGAGAGGCAGCCGACGCTGAGGAGGATGGTAAGGCCGGCAACCATAACGATGGCTGATTTGATGGGGTTTTCCCAATACACAAGGGGCTTCACTGAAATGTTTGGGAAGCAGATATTTGGTCAATTTAGCACTTTGTACAGCTAACAAGTAATTTTAACGGGCACACTGGTGATGGGGGTAGATAAAACAGAATGCGTCAGATTTCTAAGTATGAGGAGACATGGATCCCCTGAAGGTCACAACGGTTGGCTCGTCGCTCCGTAAGAAACTGGTACAGGGGTTTAGAACAACCTCTACGTGCGTATAACACGCAATTCGTTGCGATTAAAATACCTTCCAGCGCAATTGTCACACTTACTCCTGGTCCACTTATACGCCGCTCGAAATCATGTTTACCTTGACGGCTAGTTTGAAAACTTACGGAAATTGTTGCTTACTTGTGGCAGTTCTAAGTCGGCCGATCATGACGACTAACTCCTTATTGAACAAGTTCAGTCGCTGGGCATTTAAATGTTCAGTCGATTGAATGGATAACTATCAGCAAGAACATAGGATTACTTCGACAGTCATTTTAGCTGATCAGTGGATGGCTATATAAACCACGTAGATATAACCAATGGGTTTTCCAGGCAATCAGACTCATTGCTGTCTTTATTAGGCATTTGCACAGTCTTACGAAGGACTGCATAGCATTTAACAAATGCATCCTTCGGTACGAAGACACTAGCTAGAGATTATGCCGATCAAGAATTCAAGACTACAGATAGATGCGGTCATTCTAACTAACATGGCCTTCCAAATGAGGCAACCATGTTCTGACTCGAAACACTTCCCAGGCAAAACTTGCGCAGACAACTGTCGAATGGGAATATTCTCGCAGTCGACAAAAGTACTGCTCGTAAACCTGGCCTCAAGCCGAGCGCCTAAACGGCGAATACAAGATATTTGGCGTCTGTAGCGGGCGTCAGATACTTGAAGGTATCCCAAGACATGGGAGCATTAGCAACAATCTGAATTCTGTTCCGAAGGATAGGTAGATAAATATACGCATGAGTGCTTCAACATCCATGGAGAAATCAATACCACAATATATCAGCAGTCCACACCCGCCTACGTAAGGCATCGAACACATACACCAAAACCTTGTCCCTGGAACGACGCATTGTATGGATACAGTGATGATGGCATCATTTTAATTAATGCGAAAATTAGCCCACTCTGAACGGACCGATGCGGACAGAACTCATTGCATGCGGCCTTCCGAGGGTACCTTATTCAAACCGCGGGACTGACGTCAGACCCTTGTGAACTCCTTGCAGTTAAGTGCCGTCTGGTTATCCCAGCTGGGACAGGGCGCGGGAGAACGGAGAGCAATGCATGTGACCGTCAGTGTCGCTTCCAAAACTACGGCCAGCTGAACGCCGATTAACACGAACGTCTTACAGGCCGCATGTGTTTTGTCAGTGTCCTAAGAGTTGCGAATATCCTTAGCAGGTATTGCAGGCGGCGAAAGTGGTAAGAAAATTCTGTCTAATACCACTAAGGCCTTCAAAGCAGTTAAAACGATCAATAGTCTGGAAGAAGTGACAAGTTTATTGTGTGGGATTGCTGTTGAACAGCGCAATGTGTGCGCTGTTGCACTACCGGAATTGATAGCAGATGGTTACATTTAATCAGACTTAGATCGAGGCTGCTGTTGACCGTCACACCTACTAACGACATGCTCGAACTTAAACCAATGTGTGAAGGAAAAGACAA